ATTACATGAAAATTTGCAGTTGTGGATGCCTAATGATATATCTGAAGATCTTGATGAGATTGAAAGTGAAGATGAATTTATAGATGCTATGACTACAGTAAGTTGAATGAATAAACAAAATTTATAAAAAATATACAATTCATAGTTAAAAAAAAATTATAATATAAAAACTATTATTTTATTGTATTTTAGCCTCAAGTAGAAAGAAAAGAATTTATTCCTAAGGTGTTTGAAACATCAACAGAAATTGTAAAAACTTCTGCTAACATTATGAAAAATTCAACATATGGATTAATCAAGAATATAGGGAATACAGATTTTTGGAAGTCAAGATTAAAATTTAGTTTCAGTAATTCATTACAAAAAGAAATACAAAACGAAAATGAAACTAATGAGAATGGAAATACAAATATTCAAAGTTTCTCTTGTTTTTATGAAACTTTACATAAAAATGAAAGAATCAGTAATCTTGATATAAAATACGTAAATTATTCTATATTAGAAGTGCAAAATACTAAATTAAAATTATGTAGAGCACTATTAAGAATAAGTTTATTAACTGAAGCTTCTTGTTACGGACATGAAGTAAATGATATTAATCATTGTAAGTACTATACAATAGTATTAAAAAAAATGAATTTTATTATGTCTAATGTTCCTTTTTTTTTTATTTTATTAGTGCTTTTAGAATGTGCTAAACATACTATCCATGAAGATTGGTTGTTAAGTATGGCATACTTGCTGAGTCTAAATAAAACTTATATGTCAGATATTCTATCTATTTTCATGAATTTGCCAAGAAATGAATTGTGCATAGAAACAGTTATATATTACTATTCTTTAGAACTTCATAAACAATTATGTAATAATACTGAAAAGTTATACATGTATGATCCATTATGTTTAATAAGCAAGGCACTAATGCTTGCAACAAATTGTGATGAATGTGACATACAAAAAGCATTATTGCACTGTAAATCTTATTTAATAAATGATGAAAAACTTACAAATATGCTGTCAACAAATTCTGATGAAGTTGTGAATGGTGAAAAGTATAATGTTCCTGAACATAGCACAAGTATAAACAAACAAACAGATATAGAATATAATAATGGAGTAACAACACTAAGTTCAGATTCAATGAAAGATGAAGTATCATCTATATTATTTAATTATAAAGATGATGAATGGACAGATGAGTGGAGCAATTTTTCTGATGCTGATCTAGATGAAACTGTAAATAATATCACACAAAAAGAAGTTATAGTCGAAGATAAAATTTATACAGAAGAAGATCGTTTTAAAATTTTCATGAAAATGTACACAGAAATAAAAAATATACAAGATTACGAACAAGTTAAGAATATCTTGTCGACGTGGCCAGCTTTTAATAAGTCTGAATTTACTACAGTTAATCTACATCCAATATTACAAATGATTAAAATAGTTCGTACGTGTATCATAGACAAAGATACTGCCCAATATGAAGATCGAGTATTACAAGAGTATAAAGATCTCATTAAAATGATATCTGAAACGAATGTGAGTTTAATTTGATTCAATATATTGTTTCAATTATATTATTTTTTGCATAATTAATATTTTTCTTTAGATACTCAGGGAATTTCTAAAACAGGAACTTGATAATATCCCTCTAGATCACAATCTTCATATACGTCTTTGTACAGATGATCCAATACTTCATAAAGAAGCAATAGATATACTTCAAAAAGAGGAAAAGGTTTGTTTTAATTACCAATTAAAAAATTACATTTATAATCTATGTAACTTGAACAGAATTTCTTTTTTTAGATGAAGCTTTCATTAATAACACTAAAAGAAATCTTTTTAAAAAATTTAACTTGTTATTTTGAGCCAGATCATGAGGTATACAAGCAAATAATTAAACATATTTTTATAAAACAATCTTTTCCAAATATTGAAGAAAATACAGCAATACTTGTAGAAAAATTAATGGAACAAAAGCACGTGATGCATGCTTTAAGTATAATAAGTATGACAAAAAATATACCTACATCTTTAAGTACTTTCGGAACTTGTTTTCAGGTGTTAATGAAAAAATAACTTTCATTTATAATGGCATATACTGAAATATTAATTGTACATAAAAAAAAAAAAAATATATATATATATAAATGTTATAAAAATGACTTCTTTTATTAGAACAATGTAATTTTCTTTCACTCATGTTATAATATTCAAACACGAGTAATTATGTAACATATGAAAAGAGCACAACATAGAAAAAACGAATTGTATTTTTCTACTTGAATATATATTAGTTTACGTGAGAAGCTAAACGTTACAATACATTATTAATTGCTGCAAATTGTATAAAAAGCATTATGATGAATCAAAATTAACCTAAAATATGGAATAATTATATTAATGCCGAAAATCAATTGATGAAGTCACTGGTAGAGATTATCAACCTTTCAAAGAAGACAATCCAGCTCTCATTATTTCATCAACAAGTAGAAGATTACTTGCAATAATAGTGCTATAAAGAAAAATAATGTATTATATAAGTATTCAATCGCTTTAATTTAATTTAAACTAACTACATTTTGTAGTATATTAATTTTAACCTATTACCATGAATTAATTATTTGTTTCTTCACGACATAATTATCAAAAATTCCTGCATCAACTGGTTTTAGAGCTTCTCCAGTAGTCACATCTAAACCAACAGCTTCTCCTAAAGTAGAACTTTCTTCCAGTAATTTTACAATTGTGTCTTGGGAATCAAAACCACTGTTAATAGCTAAAAACATAAAAATATATTAATTTTTTAATATAATATAATAAATAAAAAGGCTAAAGTTTTAGAGTCATATAGTATACCAAGAGTTTTTGGAATAATGAGTAAAGCTTCAGCATATGCCTGTACTCCTAAACGTTGCTTTCCTTTTACTTTCTCTTTATATTGTTGAAGTGCTTGACTAGCAGCTACTTCAAATGCACCAGCTCCAGGTATAATAGCTTGATCATCAATAGCATTTTTTATAGCCCTTAATCCATCTCTTACAGCATCCTTCAATTGTTCTAATGTATATTTATTTGGTCCCTATATAAAAACAAGGTTATGCAGTTATTCATAACACAGTTATACATTTTTTATAAACAAACAAATTTACCTTCAGAAGAATTGTGACAGAATTTGGATTTTTACAATCTTCTATAAATGTGTATTTGGTTTCCCCCTGAAATAAATCCATTTTTAGATACGTGTTCTAGTATTCATAAATATTTAGAAATTTTATTAGTAAATTACCAGAACGTGTTCATAAACTAAGCCAGCCCAGCCAAGTTGTTCCTCCTGCAAATCATCTACAGAATTCATAGCTACTCCACCACATGCAAGTGCTAAACGTTCCATATTCCTACGTTTTGCACGACGTAAAGCCATAATATTTTCTTTTGCAAGCATATCTAAAGATGGTGGATCAATACCCTTTTGATTTATTATAACAAATGATTTATTTGTTCCATCACACAATTTCTTCTTCAACTCAATTATTTTCTTAACACGATTATCTATGAAGTGTCTTTCTGCTGCAACTAATTTTTCTCGTTCTTCAGCTGTTTTATAGAAGAATCCACTGTTTACCTATAATGTTAATAATTATATATTCTATTAACTAAAAAATTGTATATACACCATTTTATTTACTTACTTCACTTTTTTCATATTCTAAACTGACATTACATGTAAGAATATATGCATTTTCTACTCTTTTAGGCATGTCTGGATGTCTGCAGCCATGATCTGTCACAATACCACGAATTAAAGTAGTGTCAATAGCAGTCCTATGCTGCATTTCCATTAATTCTACCATATGTAAATCAATTTCTTTTCCTTCCTGTCTGATAGCTAATACTGCATCTACGCAAATTCCTGTCAATTTATCTGCTATAGTAGGATGGACCTTTGTTCTAAGTGATGTCCTTGCTATTTCTAAAAGATTTTCTCTGGTAACAGTAATTGGAATTTTCAAAGAATCTAAAATCTCTAATGTTTTAGCACGTGCTAATTCAAAGCCTTCTGTTAACACCCTTGGATGTAAGCCTTCTGAGATGTAAAGGTCTGCTTGTTTAAGAAGTTCTCCTATAACTAATACAGTACTAGTTGTACCATCTCCAGTTATATCATCTTGAGCAGTCGATGCTCTTGCAATTAAAGATGCTGTTGGATGTTGAATTTGCATTTCATGAAGTAATACATTTCCATCTTTAGTTATTTTTATATCTCCAGCTCCAGAAACCAACCTAAATGATTCAAACATTTGCATGTTAAAATATAAACTTACAATATATAATTATCGTTATATCTTAGGATATTCTTATAATGACTAAGAAGATTCTATTCATGACCATATAAGGGAAATTAATGAAGAATCCTATATGTCTATACATTTAAAATCTATGTTATATAGTTTATTAAAATTATAACTGGCTATTAATTTTTTAATATAAATTAATTAAATATCATAAAAATAATACATATAAAGTAACAAAATAAGCACGTGATAGAATAAACGCATACATTTTCATGGTTCCTTTGGGTCCTAAATTAGTCCTCATCACTTCTTGAATACCTTTTGCAGCAGATATATTTACAGCCAGTGCTTGAGCTGCTCTGGCGAATTCGGCTTTTGGATTTAATAAGCTAATTGCTGCCATTTTTCAAATATTCCTTTTGTGCTCACAGAAACAAATCACTCTCTTACCAAAAACTGCTACTAACACTTCGAGAAAATTATCGATGTGAATATAGATAGTTAAACTAATTGAAGTCTATGATAAAAGAGGTTAGGAAATAGAGTCGAGACTCACTGTGATGACTAAGAAAACGTGCAGATAGCGCTGTCATTTAGAACAGCCAATGGGAACACACCTCCCTAAATTTGTCCATTATTCGTTATTAATGTCATGGCGGTACATTCAAAAGAAAAAATAAAATTTTATCGATTATTAAGAAATCTTGGAAGCTATAAAAACAGAATGAATTGTATTTATTTGTCTTGCAATTAAGATCTATAATCGAAGAACACGATGATCTGTGAAGAGCTAGTTAAATTAAATACTCTAGACATCGTTGCTCGAAAGAAACTAATTGATAAATTAGAAAAAATTATACTGTAAGTATAAGTAATAAATATTACAAATATAATTCTTATAAAATTCTAATCATAATAATGTATTTGTTTGTATGTGTAATTTTATGTACAGTAAACAGAATACACTAGAAACTCTTTGTTTGGAAAACTTATCATTGACAAGAGTAGAAGGTATACGATTGATTTCAGCTTTATATAATTCTCGTAAAACTATGAAATATTTGTATTGTTGGCGTGCTTTTAAAAGAAAAGAAGGACCTTTATTAATTGATACTCGAAATGTCACGGGATCAGGCCTGTATACAGACAAGATTCCTAGAAAATGCGACTGGTTTCGTCTGATTGGTTGTTTAGAATCATTGAATACCTTATCTGTGAATTATGCATATATAGCAACACCTACAGGAGATCTTCTTGTTAACCTAGCAATGTGTGTATAATGTATTTTCTTGATAATAACGAAGATAAACAAGCTGTCCAAATTGATCATAATCAATAATTTTTTTTAGCATTAACTTTACAAATTTTACATAAAGTTTTTAATGAATAAATGTAAATTATTTAGTCACTTTCTCGATGATAGGATTTTAGGATCTAAATGGCAATGGTTGCAATTGCTGTGCTTAGAAGAAGAAATTCCAAATGAAGTTAATCCGAATGATGGCGTTGGTGGCTATAGAATACCTGATATTGCTTGGATGAAAGCATGTCTTTGGGCACCTGCTTTAAAAGTTCAATATGTTTTCAGTAACGAACTCATCCTTCAATTCATATTTTCTTTTTGTTTTAGAATACAATAGACATAATTATAATTTACAGTTGGTTTGCCAGAATACGATAGACACAAAATGTTCTTTTCCCGCCACACACCAATGCATACATTTGCACTTTCCAGTGACATTGATTTACGATTTCGACAACCTTGGTTTCTCGATTGCACGATCAAAAGTCTCTACACTTGGTACTCAAAAACTCTTGGTAATGTTTTTTAATTTATTTACGCAACAATTGTTTAGTTATTTCTAAATTTCTTTAAATTCACTTTCTCCGTAAATAATTCAAATTTGGTTTTGTAAGACTTTATCACGCCATCTTGCTCCGACATTGTGATTTTGTTCAAATTGTAATGTTTGTAGCTATAATGAATTTACAAATTATTTTTTTATAACATATATATTTAATAAAATTGTTTAGTATTTTTGAACTTACAATTGTGGCATCAACGGGATAATTTAGATTCCCAATTGAAGAATCTCTTCCTACGTTTACCAGCATTACGAACTTTTGAATTTAGGGGGGAAATTCGAATGCTTGCAACTTTATGTGCTATGTGTTGTCAGGTGCGAGCTCGAAAGTGTAGTAAGTATCTGCAACATTATATTTTTATTATTTTCCAAAAAAATTATGCATTCTCTAAACATGCCTTCTTATCACTCATGAACTAAGATTTTATAAGTAGGACATCACATTTTTATATTTTTCAGATGTTAATCATGTCAATATACATTTACAAAAAGTTATACACCATGAAGTAAATAACAATGATTTCGTTAAAGGGGTTCAATGTTTATTGATATGTTTTAAAAAAGATTTTTCTGAAATGAATGTTATATTCAAAATTGATTTTTACATCTCTTAATTAAATTATTTGTCTCAAATTACATATGGGTTATATATACATATACAAAAAGAAACAAACATATATATAAATTTGCAGATATAATTATTTATTATTAATATTGTGATTTATCGAAAACATTATAAAAGTAAATGCTATCTTTAAATATCTTCAAATAAAACTTGTATGAAAATGCAGATATTCATAGTTTAGATTCAATATGTACAAGATCTTAGATTTTTTCAGATCTTATAACACAATTGTTTGAACAATTAAATATAATTTGCAAATAAATTATTGTTTAGAGCGTTCTCATTGTATTTATTCAGTAGTAGATTCTTGTTGTTCAAATTTAGGGTATTTTGCTTCGACTTCTGCCCAAGTAATCTTTCCATTTGAAAGATCCCTAATTATATTAGGAAGTTCATCCAACTAAAATTATAAAAAACATTTTATAAGTATAAATATATATATATATATATATATATATATATATATATATAAATTAATTTAAAAGTATATTTTAAATAATATACATATATACCATTATTCTAACTTGCCCAGTACTATCTCTTTCTCTAAGAGTAGCACTGTACGGTTCTTTTAAAGTATCAAAATCTACAGTTATACCAAATGGTATTGCAATCTCATCCGTGCGAGCGTATCTACGACCAATACTGCCAGAAGAATCATCCACCTTGTGTGATACATCAGCTTTAGTAAGATTTTGAGCTAAAATTTGTATTATAAATTTAAAAACAATTTTCTGTAATATTTGAAATCTGTTTTATTATAGATTTAAAACAATTTATATGTAATATTTGAAATCTGTTTTATACTTACACAATTCTTTCACAAATGGTACAAAGTCATCATGTCCACTCAAAGGTAATACTGAACACTTTAGTGGTGCAATAATCGGTGGTAAACTGAAATACGTTCGTTTTTCATCTTCTTCTCTTGCTCTAAAATTATGTTCGAAGAGAGCGTACATGATACGGCCGATACCAAAAGATGGTTCTATTACTGAAGGCACAATTTCTTCAACATGAACAGTCTTTTGATATCTTTTTACTTCTATCATATCTTTTGTAATTTTTACAGAGAAATCATTAGAAAGTTTCAATTCACTATCACCTTTATTATTAATATCTTTTTCTAAACTTTCAATATTATTTATTTTTAAATTAGCCAATGCATCTTGGACAGTTTTACTATCTTTTTTAAATGTTTTACCAATAAGAACTTTATTAGGTACCACTTCACAAACATCTACAGTTTTTGGAGATGGTAACTTCTTTTCTGCTACTAATTTAACTCCTGTAGCTTTAGTATGCTGTGTAAGATCATATGCTGATCGATCTGCACAACCTACACATTCTATCCACCCATAAGATGTGAGACATTCTGCGTCCCAGCAATCACAAGCATAATGAGCCATTTCATTGCCCATGTGTTGTCGGAAACGTAATCTTTTTTCATCAATACCAACCTTTAATAAAAACAAGTAAATCCTAGCCATAAAATATCCTAATGTTTCATTTGCTACAAGACCATTAGACACTGCTTCTCCTATAGTAATAGATTGTGCGCTTTTCCCATCCATCTGATTACATGCTGAATATAATAACATACTTATATCTTTAACTGTTTCAAATTTAGGATGTCTCTTATCAATAGGGTCACAAAAGTGTTCAATTTCTGCCATGGTAAATTCTCTGACTCTGATAAGACCTGATCTTGGCGATATCTCATTTCTAAAAGCATTCCCAATTTGTGCAGCAGCAAATGGTAATTTTTCTTGATTAAATGCAAATAATCTTTTAAAATTCACAAAAATCCCTTGAGCAGTTTCAGGTCTTAAATAACCTTTTACTAATCCTGAAGGACCAATTTGAGTTCCAAACATTAAGTTAAATTCAATTGGTTCAGTTAAGTCATTGTTAGAAATTGGAGATTTCATATTGTATTTATTCATTATTTCAGCCATTTCATCTTTAGTCATTCCATCTAATTTAATTATAATATCTCTACATTCTGCACGTGTATTCTCATCGGTCTTCTTGTCACTAGCTACTTTCTCTAAATGAGCTTTAATTAAATGATCCAATCTAAAACATTCGCCAGTTTTTACATCTTTTACCATAAGATCTGCAAATCTTTCAACATGTCCCGAAGCTTTCAATATCGGTTCAGGTGTTAAAATAGAACAATCTACTTCTAACATCTGTTCTTCTAATACAAAAAATTTCCTCCATGCATTTATTAAATTTGTCTTCATGGCACAGCCCATGGGACCAAAATCAAATTGTCCAGTAACCCCACCATAAATTGCAAAAGACTGATCTAAATAAAATCTACGTTTTAATAAATCCTCCATTCTTGATCTATCAAACGTTATAATATCGGACACAAGTAACATTTCTTTATCTTCTAATAACTTCTTACGAAGTTTGAGTTCTGCTACTGCTTTTTTAACATCTAATTCTGGTGCTCCATCGGCTTTTAATTTACGTACAAGATCACCCTAAAATTAAAAAAAAAACTATATGTTATAATTATAATATCAGTTTAAACGATACATTTGATTTTATTACATGAATCTGAATTTTTTGTTGTAAAACGACGATTATAAAAAATATCCATATGGAATACCTGTTCCTTGACACTTGCACGAAGCGGTGCTAGAACTTCTTCGACTTTTGGATCTGTCATATTTGCTGGAATTTGTAATTTTACTTTTCTATGTTTTTTATTAGAACCCCAATTACCGAAATTGGTTAATCTTTTGGTAAATGTAAAGTTTCTAATAGGTGATTTGTTGTAACAAACACGTGTATAATTCTGTCCTTTCACGATCTTATTTGCGAAGCGTAAGCTATATGACAAAAGCCGCATTCGTACTATTATTACACATCGATATCTTGAAAGACCATGTGGTTCTAAAACCTATAATACAACAAACGACAAAGTACCTTTAATTATTACGGCACTGCAATATGATGCAAGTTAAAATTATAAAAATAATATGAATATCACTTTTCTGTGATTGTTTATAAATTAAAATATTTAATTGTCAACCACAATGACCGAATTGTTAGATGAAAATATAATTGCACGGAATAATTTGTTCATGTACGAGTATGCAGAGTAATTCGTCATTGAAATTTATATTATCAACCAAAAATTACGCCTGTTCTCATTGTTGACGTAAACTATTAGAAAAGCAGGGATGATGAACAGCCTTAACTTTGCTGTGTCTTCATGCTCGCTTTGAGGTAATTGTGGCGCGAAATTTAAATATGATTCACAAGAGATGTAACTATGTTTGAAGAACTTAATACTTTTCAAGTAACATAAATATTATGTAACGGTATGAATATTATGTGGAAATTATTTACGGTATTATATACAAATAGATGTCTCGTAAGATAATGTTATAAAAGGTATAAACATCACATATTTATTTACACATGCTACATTCATTATTCAGATAGCCAATTTCCCATCGTTTGTTAAACAATTAGAACAAAAAGAGAAAAATATTAGAAAAGAAACATCTTTCTATAATCTTGAATAATTTTATTTTTTAATTTTTTTTTTTTTTTTTTTTTTTTTTTATACACTATAGCATGGTTTATAGAAAAATTACAATTGAGAAAGAAAAACTTGTAAAAAATTATGAGATAATTGTGATATTTTTCCTATCAATATATTTATTATAACTTTTCAATAAACCCCGCTTGCGTATAATATATTTAATATTATAATATGCACAGATGAGAGGTGTGTATTTCAGAGCAAGTCCACCGCACATTAGTTGCCTGCAGACGCATTGACTGTATAATGATTTTCTTTACTTAAATCATATAAATTCTGACACCTAAGTGTAATATTCACTTATATTCTAAATATTTGCATACATTATACAATAATTCAATTCAAATGGATTTACTGCTCAAATATAAGGGTTAATATCATAAAAATAAGAATATACAAAGGCTTTTTTGTTTTTTTTCTTTTTTTTTTTTCTTTTTTTTTTTTTTTAGTATAACAATAGTATGATCAAAAACAATATTTATCAGTGTAAACAATTTATTTTACATAAGAGCAATACTCTGACATCAAAAAAAAAAAAAAAAAAAAAAAAAAAAAAAAAAAAAAAAAAAAAAAAAGAAAAGCAATAATAATGGATAATGTATAATAATAAATAAAGTATGAAACGTAAATAATGGATATTTACAAGTATGTAAATGGCAAAAAAGCTATAACAGAGGCAGAATAATTGCTTCTCCTTTGTAAATATACTTTTTATAAGTTCTAAAATAGATTCTGTCACTTGTTTGTTAAAGGTGCACCTTGTATGAGTGTCGTGTTATGCAATACCTGTACACTTAGAACCTATGAAACATACCACCATACATATAAGAAACTCATAAGGTGCTGTCACTTTAGAAATATCAACCACGTGACAGATTCAATCAGAAACACGTACCAATAATATATGTAGCATGAATGCTTACTTTGCTATAATAATTCGTCTATAATTTTCAGAAGGGTTGGCCATGATAAACGCCAATGCGGCTCTTACATAGTACTTGGAAAATTGATGAGAAATCTCGTAGTCATACTTCCGATTAACTTACACTACCGTAAATGCATAATTTCGATTCGTCTATGATCGCGAAGCATTGTTAATGAGACTTCTCTTTTTCTATTTATTTCAAAAATTAAAAGATCAGTTTTATCTCTAAACAAATTAGCTTATAATCAAAAATTTGATATACGAGAATATGACGGAATATCACAGTTCCGAGTTTGAAGAGCCGCTTGAGAAAATCATGGCATTTCCTGTATTTTTTTTCTTTTTTTTTTTTTTTTTTTTTTTTAACCTATCCCAAGATAGTCATTAAGTCATTAACTGTAAGACATTCTAGTTAACAACAATCCTACATACTACTGTAAGATTATCTATTTAAGAAATCGCAACGTTTAGTATTAATATGAAGTCATATACAACTTGCTAAGGATGCTGTAAACTGTATACTGATTGCTAAACGTTCCAAGTGAATACTGTACGTATAATGTACATAAAAAGAGTCAAAGATGACACGTAGATCCAGCACATGTTGCACTTGCGAAGACTAATTTCATGGAATAATTAGTAAAGATCATATGAATAAAAATTGTAATGCACAATTCGCGTAACTTATTTTATGGAAGTGTGATGCATGTTGCAAACTGGCTCGTGAAACACACGAAATTACCTTAGGACAATGTGT